ATGTAAACAAGATGACCATGGACACAAAAAGATTTGAATAAATGATTTCACATTATATGAGAAATATTATCAAATTATTTATTAGGATAACGAAATTTAACTGAAAATCAAGTGGAATGACTGTTAAATTTATGTTTTCAGATATCAGAGCCAAAGTACAAAAGTATAGATGATTTTATGGGCTATGTTGAGAAAAAGAACCCCGGTGAAGTAGAGTTRCACCAAGCAGTCCATGAGGTAATTACATCTATATGGGACTTCCTGGCAGAGCATCCTTCGTATAATAACCACAACATCTTGGAACGAATAATTGAACCAGAGAGGGTAGTGATCTTTAGGGTGCCATGGAGAGCTGACAATGGGGTTGTCAARGTCAACAGAGGTTTTCGTGTTGAGTTTAATTCATCTATTGGTCCCTACAAAGGTGGTCTCCGTTTCCARCCAACTGTCAACCTGGGTATATTGAAGTTCTTGGGATTTGAACAGGTGTTTAAGAACAGTTTAACTACTCTTCCATTAGGAGGAGGCAAGGGAGGTTCAGACTTTGATCCCAAGGGAAAATCAGACAATGAGGTAATGAGCTTCTGTCAGTCATACATGACAGAATTACAGCGCCATATTGGACCCAACACTGATGTTCCTGCAGGWGATATTGGTGTCGGTGGAAGAGAAATTGGCTTCTTATTTGGTCAATACAAGCGTATCTGTAACGAGTTCACAGGAGTGCTGACAGGCAAGTCTGCAGGTTGGGGTGGTAGTTTACTAAGACCAGAAGCCACTGGATATGGGTTGGTGTACTTTACTGCTGAAATGCTGGAAACCAAAGCTGAAAGTTTTAGAGGCAAAACTGTTACCGTATCGGGTTCTGGTAACGTAGCCCAGTTTGCAACTGAGAAAGTAACTGAACTGGGAGGTAAAGTTGTCACRCTGTCAGATTCATCAGGCACAATTCACGACCCAAGTGGCATCACCAAAGAGAAACTTGCATATGTTGAAGAGCTTAAAAACGTTAAGCGAGGTCGCATAAGTGAGTATGCTATGCAGTATGGTGTGAAGTTTTATGAAGGAAAGAGGCCATGGTTTGTTAAGTGCGATGTAGCACTCCCTTGTGCAACACAAAACGAAGTCGATYTAGAYGATGCACAAGCACTGGTTGAGAATGGCTGCACATGTGTTGCTGAGGGCGCCAACATGCCTACTGTCCCAGAAGCCATTGAGATTTTCCAGAAAGCCAAAATRCTTTATGGTCCAGGAAAGGCATCAAATGCTGGAGGTGTAGCAGTGTCTGGTTTGGAAATGAGTCAAAACAGTCTCCGAAGTGCGTGGACCAGAGAAGGTGTCGATGAGCGTCTCCATGATATTATGGAAAGCATCCACAGCACATGCGTCAAATTTGGAACTTCCAAGGACGGTAGTTACGTTGACTATGTCAAGGGTGCTAACGTTGGGGGTTTCATCAAGGTTGCTCAATCCATGATCGAACAAGGCGTTGTTTAGATGTTTGTCAGTTCCAAGAACTTGCTTCAAGGCTAATTATAAACCCKAAAAATTCCTTAATATTGGAACAATTAAGTTCTATTATGAAGCTTAATTTTTCAAACTCCCCACTTAGCTTACAGTTTGCAAATCAGAAAGTTAGAACTATATGAAACAATTTTAGTAGAATATGCAAAACGTATTCCTAAAAGATAAGCTTGTCGTAAACGTGCTCCAAGACCTAATTAATTAATTCTAATTAATTATCGTACCCGGCAACAAATGTCCAAACAGTAGATCTCGATTTTAATGAATAGTAATAATTAGATATTATTAGATATAATTGGCGTTTTTACCCCGTAGAAACATWGTAYCTGRTCAATGAYTAGGTCATTCTATATGCTTATGAAATGATCTGGTTTCTCGTAATTATTTTAGAATATTTAGAATGTTATGATTATGTCAATGTGTCTGTCATTGTTTACATTTAAAAAATGTACGTATTTATATTATAGTTAATAAGTAGTTATTAATAAATACTAACACGAATGTGTGAAAGCCGAATTTAGTTAATTCAATTGTTATACATTRCAATACAATCCAACAGTTTGGTTAGAAAACATTTCAGCAATCACGAAAACTTTAGTGCGTTGAACAGATTTTCCTTCTGAAATGTTTTCGCGCATCGTCAGCTGTAATATCATCCGTTACAGACTCGGTTGAACGGGAATGTGCTCTATCCAATATTGGAATACTTGTAGTATGYGTGCACCAATGCTTGAATATTGTACGCTCGGCTTCAAGCTTCAGTGACCGTTATTAAATAATCCAGCAGGCATCGAGATGGAGATGGGGGTAACAGGGTAAACGAAATTTTCGAGATATTTGTCATTGAACTGAACTAGGAAAAAGGGGGGGGGGGGGCTGACGGAGAACCTCTGTACCTCCTTTCACAATGGGGGAGGGAAACTCCCCAAATTGCCCAAATCTACCACACCACTTGGGATTTTTCTCCATTTCTCCCTCATCCCTCTTTCTGCCGCTCCCCCAACGTTCACGAAATCTGACCAGCATTGTACACGCCTCGGCCTTGATGGATCAGACATGATCTTGAAACTGAGCTTTGTTAAAGCTGTAAATAAATGACCATGACYCACAGTTAACGTAAATGCCTTGGGGTCCTTGGGGAAACGTATCGCGAAGTGTTGATCAAAGCAGTATCACCAAGAAWGTTAAAGCTCTGGCTATGTTATTTGCTTCAGTGACCAGCTCAGTTTCCCATACTCCCGTTAAAACTATAAAGAGAGTTTGCGGCAACGCTTCATCAAAAAAGTAATTGCTTGTTGATTATTGTCAACATTTATTTTATTTTTACATATATATCCATCTACAGCCTTTTGCAAAAATTATGAGAATTGTCTAAATATCTAAATATCATAATATCCATATCCATATATTGTCCGGAACACGCGGGTTTGCTAGAATAATTCATTGTTGACATCGAGAAAATGTTCAGAACTACGGATAAGTCCGTCGCCAAAAAGAAAAAAAAAACTACAAAGACAAGGGACTAAGGGCATCGCGCGGGATTACACATCATGCACTTGATATTATGATATTTAGATATTTCAACAATTCTCATAATTTTTGCAAAAGGCTGTATACTAAAATACTCCTATATAAAATGTACAATGATCCTAGAAGTGAACCRATAGTTCTAGATAGAGTGGTGTTCCAAGGAGTGACTCCCATGGAAAAACACTTTTACAATCAATATACTTTATTACTCTATATTTCATTATTACTTTCAGGGCCGTAACCAGAACTTCTACCGGGGGGCGCACATCTGATAACTGGACCATTATGGCCTTTTTTATTAGCAGTTGTCAACTAAGTAAAAACAAATCCGGCCGATTCGTGGATAAATTCGACAAAATAAATTATGTTTTTCCAATAAATTGATTAAAAAATCTAAAACGAATATTTTGTCATTTCTTAAAAAAAAACAAGGGCATAGATGCACGGACCTTCAGCTTCTCTGGGGGGTTACATGTACACCCAGTGCACCTCCCGTGGTTACGGGCCAGACTTTGTTTCACGAGGTAATGAAAAACACCTCTTTAGGATATTTACTAATTGGGAAGCGTTACATAAAACCGTCGAACAAAATTTAACTTGTTTACTAAAATGTGATTGTCAAATTATAGACTAAGAAAACAGTGGAATTAGAGAATACCGAGGTGCATCAGTGCTATACATCTATTTCTATTTTAAGGGTTTTTTTTACTTCACTCTACATAGCACGTTTTGCTTAGTCCATTGGGGTTTTCCGTGAACCTCACTTTGTTAGTTCACGTGTTTTATTTTTTCTATTTCGAATTATTACTACAATTGTAGCTATTTCTCTAGTGACWAGTTCAGTATTCACTTTACAGAGTTTTTGGAATATCCTGTGTTAATT